GGCCACCATACACCGCTGGTGCTTACAGTTGGCTATTTTTGGACAAACTGCACAACAAAAACATTGAATTTATTTTGAGGTTATTTTAGTTTGAATATTGGTATGTCAAATTGAATTATTTACATAACACGATAACTTTAAATAAACCCATACTTTCACAGTTTGGTCCGTTGCCGTAAAATCCGTCGTTACAGTTTCCACAGACCTCTGGTGACAAACAACTTCCGCCACTGTTGTGTTGACGGAAGCCACTTCTGTACTCTACATAGTCTGCATGATACACACTACAAGCGGCTGGATCGACTCTTCCCGCACAAATGGCTGCAATTGTATCGGAAATGAATATATTACTTTTTCATGTATGTCTATATAATAGAGTTAGTTTCCATACAAGAACATATTTGGGCATGAAAACGTGTTCCCTGTCGACGGATTATACTTCACCAATCACTCTCTGTGTTCTTTTCTGAGCAAGTTTCAATAAAAAGATTGCACCATTACTAAAAATGATTACTTGTGGAATCAATATTCACTGACTGGTCATGGATTATTCAAACCAACATAAAAATAACATCACTGATGCTGGATGTTAATAAGATATTTCAATTTCTATCATATCAACTACTTAAAATATGGTTAGTAGAAGTTAGGTATAGGTTATTCAAGAATTAAATCGTGATGATATGACATTTAAGTCATTATGGAAAAACACAGCTTTACTGGCAAACATCATAGTGCTCGCAAGCACATTTTGATGTTTTGATTTTCTCTTGAATATCTGATGCATAACTTACCATAATCACAAGCAATGTTATCTTTCGACAGGTAGCCGGTACAGCAGTAGGGCACACCAACATAGTAGTACCTGAAATATAGTACTGTAGTTAATGTAGTAAATACATTAGTCTTCGTAAAACAAAGTTTCATAATAGCATTCTTACCGTGAATTTCTTATGTATATCATCCATCAATTGTAAGGCAATACAAATTTACGGTTCATAAATATAACTTTGAGGTAATAGAAATCACAGATTGTTTAAAAATCACATGTGGAATTATTTTCGTCATATAAAAAACGAATAAATAACAATAACCCCCTCTCATATTTGAAAAAAA